GGGAAGTTTTCGTTTGGAGAGCGCAGGGGCTGGGCCACCTCCTGCTGCCTGCCTTGTAGTCAGCCCTGTGGCAAGTGATCATGGGCTCAGCCGTCAGAACTCAGAGCACTCTCCACAGCTGGGAAAGGTGTGCAGGCGCTTTCCTTTAGGAAAAGGGAGGGCTTCCCAGAAAAAGTTCCGAAAAACAAAGATCAGAATACCGTCTCCCCTCTCTTGTGCTTCTCCAGTGCAGGGATTTAGGTTTATTTTCCTTGGTTGTTGCCAAGTCAGTGTTTCCATTCAGTAATCATAATTTCATATTTTTTCACAATCATCCCCTACTCTCATCCAGACCTCTCATCTGGAGAGGTAGTATGCAAGAGGGGCCAAACACCTTCACAGAAAAACATTTTTGTACAACTGAACTAGAAAGACATCATGTTCAGAAATTGTTCAAGACAGAATCCTGAATTTTCAAAAAATTTCAAAATCAGTTTACATAACCTCCTTCCCCTTATCCAGTGAGCAGCCTAGAAAAGGTCAAGCCCTCTTTGAAATATGTTTTTATTGATTTCATAGACAGGAAGGAAGAGGGAGAGAGGGGTAGAAACATCAATGATGAGAGAGAATCATTGATCAGCTGCCTCCTGCATGCCCCATACTGGGGATCGATCCTGCGACCCAGGCATGTGCCCTGACTGGGAATCGAACTGGGACCTCCTGGTGCATGGGCCATTGCTCATCCACCGATTAACACTCGCCAGGTAGGTCAAGCCCTTTCTGAGGCGAGCTGCATTGAATAATCCAATTCCACTAGGAGAAAGGTGAGGGAAGCAGAGTCAGGCAGTTGATTGTTGCAAATAGCAGCTCATCAGGGGAGCCAGACACAAGGACCCCACCACAGTGAGACATGTTCCCGAGGAGGTCAGGAGCCTTTTCACTGTCAGCAGTGAGTGGAGGGTGACAGCCCCTGAGAGGTATCCTCTCCCAACTTGCAGCTTTGGGCAAGTCACAGGTTAAGTCAGTCTCTGTCAGAATATACAGCTGGTCAGCAGCTTGGTTTCAAATGGTCCCAGCAAAGAGCAGCCCTTTCCTGTGGACATTTGTATGTGGCGCAGACAGTTTAGCCCAGCATTCTTGATTTCCTCTCAGTGTAGGCCCCACAGAGAGGGGACCTAATGTGCAGAGGTCACTGTCTGAGTTCTGTTTATGGAGCCCAGACCTGCTTTCAGTTCAGCTCACGCTGAGGCTGGCAGCCATACCAGACAGTATCAGCTTGTGGCTTAGCATCAAGCCCAGGCAGTTAGGATCTGTAAGGTAGGATTTTTTAAAAGCCAGAGGCTTTTCTACGGCAGCACCAAAGCCAAGATGCTGCAGGGCCGGAAAGTCCTGTGGCAGCCAAGGCTTTCCTCCACCCTTTTGTCGTGTCTTTCTTTGAGTCCAAATGGACCCACAAACCTGCACGTCTGTCTCTAAGGGTCAGATTTCTGCTTTCACAAGCACTCACTAGCAAAGTGAATCTGCTTTTTAGAACTTCAAAAGTATATTTCCATCTGTGGATCACCTCTTTCTTAATGTGTCCCTCTTGCCAGAGGCTCCAATAAGCAGGAGTCTGTATCATCCATTGTGTGGGAGAGTGGAAATTTCCCCTCTTTTTCCTCATTGTTCTTCTGGCTGATCTAGTAATCAAATTGAGGGTGACACAGGTTAATAGGAGAAAATAATCACATTTATTCTTTATGTACATACGGGGTTTTGTAAGAATCTGGGAAGGATGGACACAAGGGGCAGTTGAGACTTACATATCGTTTTGAGATAAAGAGAAGGGGGGCTAGGATAGCCGTTTGGACTTCAAAGGGAATGTAGGCAATTCACGGGTAAGGTGGAAAGGAGCAAATATTTAGTGAACAAATTCTTGCAGGGCCACCCAGAAATAGTGGGACAGGAAGGGAAGTCTAGCAGACTTTGCTGGGTTTCTCCCTGTCTGCCTCACTTAGTTCTTATTACGCTAAGGTGATCTTCCTTCCTGAAGCAGGAGTTTTTTAAATCTGAATTCCTTTAGGCAGGTAAGGGGTAAGGGAAGGGTAAAAGGCTCTTCTTGAGTCTTTTGTTCCTTAAAAATAACGGGCTTGCCCTGACTGGTTTGGTTCAGTAGATAGAGGGTCGGCCTGCAGACTGAAGGGTCCCAGATTCGATTCCAGTCAAGGGCATGTACCTTGGTTGCAGGCACATCCCAGTCGGGGGTGTGCAGGAGGCAGCTGATCGATGTTTCACTCTCATTGATGTTTCTAACTCTCTATCCCTCTCCCTTCCTTTCTGTAAAAAATCAATAAAATATATTTAAAAAAATAACCAGCTTAAACAATATCTCAAAAAGTCATATTTTGGGCTAGCAAACTCTGCTCCTCTTCAGTAGCTAAACCCATCAGTTACAGAAACTTGTCCTGTTTCCAGTACTCAGTTTAAATTACAACCTACTCACAAGTAGCAAACAGCATGGAAGCTGTGTCCCTGACACGTTTTTTTCTGTGCAGCTTTCCCTGATCAGGATGATTCCTCTGGCATATATGGAATTACAAACATTTAACATTTTCTACCCATTTTTACCATACATTCAGATGTGATAGCCACAAAATACAGAGCCACTGCAATTTCCCCCATCATTACAAATTTACTTAAAACTTTAACATATGCTATGTTAGTTAGCATGACAGCTGCCAGGGAAGATCGGGCTGGAATGCAGGGGAGGAAGGGCAGTGGGGGAAGCTACTGCAGCTGCAGCTAGGCTGAGAGAAAACTGCTGGAATGTTACCTCCTTCCCCTTTTTTCTGGTTTATCTAAAATTTGGCTCCAGGCCTAGGACCTAATTTAACTCCCTTCCCCTCACCACTACTCCCTACCCCCTGTTTTAATATTTTGACCCTTTCACCTTTGGGAATTTGGGGGAGAGTGGGTGGTCCTTTCTCCTTCTATCCAAAGAAGAGAACAAACTCAAGGGCATCACCACTTTAACCAGGATGGCCCAGAGCATTGGGGACCCAGCGAGCCTGCTCTCCTGGAGCTGGATCTGTTCTCAAGTTCCACAAGTAACTTACCTCTCACACACATAGTGCTCAGCTGCTGCTGCATGCCAGGGATGACTCCATAACCACCGGGGAACCCTAGGTTCACCATACACTGCCTGTATCCTTCCTTTCCCAAACAACGCTCGCACTGGATTTCAGTGAGTCAGGGTCGTTCTCCCGAATGCCACGTCTGATGTAGACTGATGTTGGGGGTCCCCAAGACCATCCCTAGGTCCAGTGATTTGCTGGGAGGACTCAGCATATAGTTGTACTCAAGGCTGTGATTTATTATAGTGAAAGAAAACAAAGCAAAATCATCATGGGGCGAAGTCCAAAGGAAGTCAGGTACAAGTTTCCAAGGAGAGCCTTTGGACCCACTTAAGTCCCGTAGCACATGCGATAGCACGGGAAATGTTCTCATCAGAGACCCAGCACTTGGAGTATTTAATGGAGACTAATCATGTAATCACTCTCTGTCTAAGCATGTACCAAAATTACAGACTTGAGAAGGAAAACAGATGTTGAGCATAAACCACATTGTTTTTCCAAACAGTTTAGATATAGTGAGTCACTTCGACCAGTTATGGAGTGGGAACCTTTTATCTTAGTAAGGGCAACCTTCTACTCACTTCCTAAAACCTAACCCTGGGAGCTTCCTTGCTCCTCTCCTCTCATCTGCACATCCAGTCAGTCACTAAGTCAGTGATGGCGAACCTATGATATGCGTGTCAGAGGTGATACGAGAACTCATTTTTTTGGTTGATACTTCCTTAGCATCACTTAGTATTTCCACTCCTTCCATTCCATGGTCCTCTTCGGGCTTAGATGACTGTCACAACCTTGGATTGGTCACCCTATCCAACCCTCCCTCCATTTGATTGTCCGCTCTTTTAGTAAAATGAGCATGTCACTCCTACTTAAAACTCAAATGTGAGTTCCACTGTTCTCAGGATGAAGTTCAAACTCTTTAATAAGATTTGTCAGGACCTCCCTAGTCTGGCTTCTTCGTGCTTCTTTAGCTGCTTCTCTCATCTACTTTGGCACTCACACTGCATGTTCCAACTTCCTGAACTCTTTTTATTTTGTCTAATGTACCATGCTTATTTTCTTTAATTACCACACCTGTTCCCTCTGTCTATACTACTCCCCGCCCTACACTGCAGCCTTTCAACCACTCCCTCTGGGACAGTGGTCGCCAACCGGTGGTCCACAAACCACTGGTGATCCGTGAGGTCCGAAAGGTTGGCGACCGCTGTTCTGGGAGGTTCAGTGTACACTTTAGTTCCGGGGAGGGGAGGCTTTCCTTTCCATAACATTGATCACACTTTTGTTTAATGTCTCTCTTCCTTGCGAGGCAGTAAATTCTGTAGAGCAGAGACCTCTGCTCCACCTCATTCCTGGCACCTAGGAGATCCTCAGAACTTATGGAACAAATTAAAGATATGGTCTCCACCCTTAAGCTCAAAGTCTAGTGGGAGCTAGAGTATGGTAAAGAAAGAGCCTCAATATGTATTATAAGTGCTCTAATAAAATGCTGGGGGATCATTTTCCTTGTATTACTTTCTATTATTGAAGAAATTGACTTACAGCAGTCAGATTGAAAAGAGGAGAGTTGTGCCAAGCAGTGGAATTGATTCAGTTGCCTTTGCCTCATTTTTTGCTCACTAGTTGGGCAGAAGTTGGGCAGTAGACTTCATTCTAAGGTTATTGTATCTCAAGACCTTCAGCAATCCTAAGCTAGTTACAGAGCTAGGTAGTCAGCTAGCCATGCTCACTAAGTTGACTCACCTTCAAGTCACTCCTAAACAGGATTCAAGGATTAGTGCTGACTTTTTGTATATTCCCCATTCCAAATCATATATCTTCATCTTTAAATTCTAGTAGCTGAAATTGACAGTGTTAAATCCATGAATACCACAGGTGCTGTTCATGTTTTGATTTTTCTTATCTTTCCAGCTTTGACCGCCATTGAAGGCACAGCACACGGAGAGCCCTGCCACTTCCCTTTTCTTTTCCTGGATAAGGAATATGATGAGTGTACGTCAGATGGGAGGGAAGATGGCAGACTGTGGTGTGCTACAACCTATGACTACAAGGCAGATGAAAAGTGGGGCTTTTGTGAAAGTAAGTGTTGATTTGTAGGAGGAATTTCCACATTGCTCCATGTCTTGGACAGCATCTTTAAGGCCTCTGCTAGCCATCTTTTTCCACCCTTGACAGACATGGTCAGTGTTGATAATGTGGTGATAGCCTTGAAGAACAGACTTTGGTGCAGAAAGCATGCAGTGTACTTACTTATTTCCAGCCTGTCACTCAGGCAGCTTATCACACTGTCTTATTTAGAGAGGGTTTTCTGTTGCTGTGCACAAGTTGTTCTGCAAACCCTCAGGCAGGCTGCTAATTTAATAAAAGTAAAACATTTTTTAAGAGTAAAGGAAACAGCATTGTGGAGAAGGTTAAGAGTGATAGGAAGAGCCTAGCTTGTGTGGCTCAGTCGTTGAGCGACGACCTATGAACCAGGAGGTCACGATTTGATACCTGGATTGCTGGCTCTATCCCCAATGGGAGATGTGGAGGCAGCAAGCCAATCGATGATTCTCATCATTGATGTTTCTAGCTCACCTCCCTTTCTCTCTGAAATAAAAAAAAATTTTTAAAAAGAGTGGTTAGAAGAAAAATAATAACTTTTAAAAAACACTTTGAGCCCTGGCCTTTGTGGCTTACTTGATTGGGCATCCTGTGCAATGAAAGGTTGCCAGTTAGATTCCCGGTCAGGGCACATGCATGGATTACAGACTCGATCCCCAGTAGGGGACGTGCAGGAGGCAGTCCACTGATTTTCCTTTCTTGCATCGATGTTTCTCTCTCTCTCCCACCTCTACCTTCCTCTTTCTCTCTCTCAAATCAATTTTTTAAAAAATCTTTTAGCCCTGGCTGGTTTGACTCCATGGATAGAGTGTCGGCCTGTGGACTGGGGGGTCGTGGGTTCGATTCCGGTTAGGAGCACATGCCTGGGTTGCGGGCTCGACTCCCGGGGGCGCATGTGGGAGGCAGCTGATCAGTGAGTCTCTCTCATCATTGATGTTATCTATCTCTCCCTCTCCCTTCCTCTCTGAAATCAATAAAAATATATTTTAATAAATCTTTTAAAAACACTTGGAGTAAGATGTGCTGTGCTCAGTAACGTTTAACAAATCATGTACGCTTCACCTTCCTGCATGTTAATGTCAGTTTAAGGGGGCTGACCTCTAAAGGTATTTTTTCAGGAAAAACTTTGTAACTAATAAAGAACAGAAAATCTTAAACATATCTCCTTTGATTCCAAATAACACTTTCAAAATAATGGTTCTGGTAGATAATTAGGCACTTCTAGAAGATAACATCAAATATAGCCCATCTTGGGCAGTGGTCGGCAAACTCATTAGTCAACAGAGCCAAATATCAACAGTACAACGATTGAAATTTCTTTTGAGAGCCAATTTTTTTAAACTTAAACTATATAGGTAGGTACATTGTTATTAACTTAGTTAGGGTACTCCTAAGGCTAAGGAAGAGCCACACTCAAGGGGCCAAAGAGCCATTTGTGGCTCTCGAGCTGCAGTTTGCCGACCACCGATCTTGGGTATAGGCCAGTATGATTAGGTACTTTGGTATAATATCACCAGATTTTTTATATATAAGAACTCCTGTTTCTATAAATATTGGTCCTAATGAAATACTCAGATATCTCTTAATGAGTTCTAGATTTCTGGTACAATACTATATTACAATAGCAAAATAATTTTTGGAAAAAAAATAAAAACAAACGCTTCCTTTGACTAAAATGGTGTTTTTCTGATTATTTTTTAAAAATATATCTTTATTGATTTCAGAGAGGAAGGGAGAGGGAGAGAGAGTTAGAAACATCAGTGACTAGAGAGAGAATTATTGATTGGCTGCCTCCTGCACGTCCCTTACTGGGGATCGAGCCCACAACCCAGGCATGTGCCCTTGACCAGAATCAAACCTGGGACCCTTCAGTCCGCAGGCTGACACTCTATCCACTGAACCAAACCAGCTAAGGCTGACTATTGTTTTTTAATATCCTTCTGTCCTGATTTTAGCTGACTTGGCACATAATCATAATTTGCTACTGAAATTTCAGTTAAATTATATTATAAGTTTTAGAATTACTAGCAGAAAAGTACTCTCCAAAAGCAGGTTGATAATTGCTTTCTCTAAAAGAACATGATGTAGACAAGTTGTGTGTTTTTTAAGTCTTATCTTTTGTCAGGTAAAGGCCACAGTTAAATTATGTGTCTTTGGAGTCAGCTTTGTAAAGAATGAAAGATCATTAATTGTGTTTGTATTCTCAAAAGGCAGAATACATGCTGATGCTTGATAAATAATTGGTGTAGAATTAAAATCCATTTAAGTGCATCTAACATTTTGTTTTTAGCTGAAGAAGAGGCCACTAAAAGACGGCAAATGCAGGAAGCAGAAGTGATGTACCAGACTGGGATGAAAATCCTCAATGGAAGCAATAAGAAAAGCCAAAAAAGAGAGTAGGTAGCACTGCAAGTACATGCCTCCCCTAAGATAGGCCATTACAGAGATAAATAGCCAAGTATTTTTTTTTAAAGTGTTTTGCCAAAACAGAGGCTTTGTTAAGTTGCATTAAAAGAAGTTTAATACCATATGTGGACTTCAGTGGCATTGTTTTTTATCAGATATTAGCTTGTTCGGATAAAAAGGTTGTAAATACTGATCCCAACAATGTACAATGAGCAGAACGGAAATAATGGACTGAAGTTGTTGTTTCTGAGAACCAAGAATACATATGCTGTTCAGAATTTAAAATTACGTACAGCAAAAAAAGGAGTTATTGTCAGATGTTTGTTTTTTTCGTTTTTGCTTTATAATATTCTTGCAGACAAAGACTAGAATTTAAGAATTTACGCTTAGAAAGAACGTAAAACAAGTGACTGTCTTCTAATATTTTATGTCCCTTTAATTTCAGCAGGCTTATATTCTGTGCAAAGATTTTTTTTTTAAATTGCAGTGGCTATCACTGGATTATTTATGGGACACCATATTATTACAGTTCTTTTATGGCACATGTAGTTAATGTTTTCAGAAGTTCTGGGAATTACTGTTAGTGTAATTAGACTATTCCAAGATGTTAGGATGAGAGAGAAAACTGGTGTCTTACATAAAAACAAAGTAGCCAGGATGTTCTCTATACATAAGTAACATGACTATAGAATAAGGAAATTATTTATGTTGCATTTCAGTAGATCTTTAAAAAATGTAATGAAAGTTCCAAATTATTGCTAATGTGTTTTTAATTGTTTCCATTTAAAGAGCATATCGGTATCTTCAAAAGGCAGCAAGCATGAACCATACCAAGGCCCTGGAGAGAGTGTCATATGCTCTTTTGTTTGGTGATTACCTGACACAGAACCTTCAGACAGCTAAAGAGATGTTTGAGAAGCTGACTGAGGAAGGCTCTCCCAAGGGGCAGACTGTAAGTGCACTTGCGTCGGAGAGTCTCCTCCCACACAGCCCTTGTTTATTTTAACCGCAGTTTACTCTTTGTGCTCTGACTTCTTTTGAAAAATAAGAATAAAATACCTTGCCCAGCCAGTGTGGTTCAGTGGTTGAGCATCGACCTATGAACCAGGAGATCAGGGTTCCATTCCCGGTCAGGGCACATGCCTGGGTTGCAGGCTCGATCCCCACCGTGGGGCGTGCAGGAGGCAGCTGGTCAATGATTCTCTCTCATCATTGATGTTTTTCTCTCTCTCCCTCTCCCTTCCTCTTTGAAATCAATTTTGAATAAAATATCTTTGAATATCAGTCTTTTTCCTTTGTCTGAGAACATTTATGGTCACTTAAGGCATCTTGCCACAATAATGCCTGTAGTTTTCCAGATTTGATCTCTAGTGAATGAAACATGAAGTAATTGGCTTTTACCTAAATTACTCACCAGTGCATTTCTTTCCAAAGTTCAGCTGCTTCATCTCTTATTAATCTTGATGTTTTTAAGCATATACATTACAGAAGCAGTACAGGTCCATTATAAGAAACTAGAAATAGAAACTAAAAATGCTAAGGAAGTCAAGACTGCATATGTACAACTAGACATGAGCATTGGTAGTATGTTAGTGCATGCACAGCCTTCTAGACCTTTTTCTTTGTGTATAGATACATACAAATTCTTGATTAAAATAAGATGTCATTATCTACTATTCCATAACATGCTCTTCTCAATCATTAATCTTCACCTTTCCTTTCCAGTAAATTTCTACAACATATAATACCCTTAGCATATTCAGATGGTATTGAACAGAACATTTCCTTTATATCAGTTTTGTCCAAACCTAACCCCGGACTATACCTTATATTTGGTTGTTGTTTCTAACATTACCATCCCCTTTCTTTTTTTTCTGTGTTAGGGCCCATTTTTCTGCAGACTGTCCTAACTCAGTTTACCCATTGACTTCTGCAAGGTGTCCTTTAGTTTGTTTTTTCATCTTCTATATTTCCTATAAACTGGCTATCACAGTTAAAGACTGATGAACTCAAGTAAAATATTTCTGGCTGGACTGCATCATGGGGATGTTCTGCATTCCATATTGCATCACACCATTTGATACAAAATATCTGTTTGATTCCCTGTGGTAAGGTTGACAACTAGGATTTAGGGTGCCACCACATTTATTTAAAATGCCTTCAGTAGCCCTGACTGGTTTGGGTAGTGGATAGAGCATCAGTCTGCGGACTGAAGGGTCCCAGGTTCGATTCTGGTCAAGGGCATGTACCTTGGTTGCGGGCACATCCCCAGTTGGGGGTGTGTAGGAGGCAGCTGATCGATGTTTCTCTCTCCTCGATGTTTCTAACTCTCTATCCCTCTCCCTTCCTCTCTGTAAAAAAAATGAATAAAATATTTATTTAAAAAATAAAAATAAATAAAATGCCTTCAGTAATTCAGGTTTACTGAAGGTTTTGGATTTGCTTAGTCACAGTTAGAAGCCTGTTTTCACACTATTTCAACATTAGCCTATACTTTGATGTTGTCAAAGGATAGGACTTTACTAGTGCATTCTTTGATTGGTTGAATTTTTTTAGAAAATGGTGTGCTCTAGCATTGTAAAGTGACCTTCCTTGACCACTTCACCTTGACCTCTGGCTGCCTGTTTGTGTTCCTGGGATAGTGGATCTTGGCAATCTCTTATCCATTTCCAATATGTATGGACCTTTGCATTGATGTAATGATGTAGGAGTTGTTCTGTCCTTATAATAGTTGTTCATCAAGATCAAGTAAAAGCCATATTTGTGTTCAACCTTGTTTTTCTAGTTAATAAGTTATTAAATTATCTTTAATCTTCAAGCTAAATATTTTGACTTGTTTAAAGTTGTATTCCATTGTGTAATTTGTAAAACCTTGAATGCATTTCTGAGGCTCTTTAATTCCAGGTTGTACATACTTGCAACAATTTAAATTGTTTCCCATTTAAAGATTCGTTCATCTTTTCATAGTACATAAAACTATGTCTGTCTTGGATAAACTTCCACCAAAGGCAGAATTCTTACTTTTATCATTTTATTTCAGGCTCTTGGCTTTCTCTACGCCTCTGGACTTGGTGTTAATTCAAGTCAGGCAAAGGTAATATTATTAAAACTTTAATTTATATGACATTTTCAATTGAGTAAATACATGTGCCTATGTTCAATTAAGTATCTTTTGTTCATTCACAGGCCCTTGTTTATTATACTTTTGGAGCTCTTGGGGGCAACCTAATAGCCCACATGATTTTGGTAAGTAAGACTTAAATGGAAGAATACTAACATTGAGTAGCAGAAGAATTTTTGGTTAACAAATGATCACGACTTTTCTGACTTTCATGATTCAAATTTACTTTTACTCACTAAGACCAAATACTCAATTAAATATTCTTATTAATGAACACAATAACAATCTACATGTGGATGAAAACTGTTAGAGTTCACAATTTTTTATGAAAATGACTAGTTTGTCCTTAAAATAAATATCTGATAAATGGCTCTTTTTTAAAGTTGGAATTGTTTGTCAAAGTCATTTTTTTAGATTGGTTGTCATAGATGTTATATTGAAATTGGTGAAGGACTTACTATATAAAGAACCTATAAAGTTCTTTAAACCTATAAAGTGGTCCTTTAAAGTTCATTACAGAGTATCTTTTATGTTCCATTTGATACCATTGATCATTTAAATGGTTTAGTGGTGAAATAGAGAATTTTTCCACTAAATTCTTTACTGTGGTGTATTTAATCTGCCTTGTACTTCATAAACTGACTTTGGCTAAGTCACATGACTTCCAACTCATATTACTATGTTTCAAATGGATATATAAATTCATTCTTACAAGAACATAAAGGATAGAGTAAACAGAAATGAGACTGAAAGCAGAAAAAAAAAACAGGAAAAAATATGGAAAAGAGTTTACACCTTAGTCATTGATGAGCTATGATACTTAAAAAAGAAGGAAAATCTATTTCTCTGGCCAGGTGGGTGGGTCCTAACTAATTTTACTCATACATTTCCAAAAATATTCATTGAGTACATGTCCTTGGGACACCAAAGATGAGTAAGATACAATCCAACAAGCTTTTAATCAAGAAAGGGAGGCACAGGTAAGGAGGCCATTATAATACAGCATGAGAAAGTCAAGGAATCACCTAGAAAGTGGCATTGGAAGGAGAGGGATCTAAGGAAGTACTTCTGAGGAAAGAAGCAGCTAACCCTGTTCTTGAAGGGTAAATTGTGGTGAGTGAACGTAAAAAGCAGAGGTATCCAGGCAGCGGTTCTCAACCTGTGGGTCGCGACCATCGGAAAACACATATAGCATGTCAGGTATTTACATGACAATTCATAACAGTAGCAAAATTACAGTTATGAAGTAGCAACGAAAATAATTTTATAGTTGGGGGTCACCACAACATGAGGAACTGTATTAAAAGGTCGCGGCACTAGGAAGGTTGAGAATCACTGATAGAGGGACAGCAACAAGAGGGAATGTGGTGTTTACAAGAAAACACAAGCAGTTTAGTGTGTCCAGAGAGTAGCATACCTCCCAGAAGTTCACAGCAGGGCAGGTGAACAGGAATCCCATTAGCAGCTGTATGCCATGCCCAGGAGCATGGACTTGGTCCTGTTTACATGGACTCTGTCTTGTTTACAAGGGTAAACTGCTGAGGGGGTTTAAGTGAAAAGTAGGGTTTGTTCTAATTACTTACCAGTTGTCTTCAACAGCAGCTACAGATTAAGAACATTAAATATTATACATGCTATTATACAGTAATGCCCTAAGGATTGTTAAAGCTTGTAAAGTTATTTTGAGTCTGTGCTAAGTGACTCCAGAGAGCTCTACTTTCTGTTCCTTGCTCTTTATTATTAGCTCTCTTCCCCTTATTCTGAAGTCATTTATTGCTGGGCTGCTTCTAATAGTCCCTTGACTTCCCTATTTTGCTCATTTGTTGCTTCTTCTTTGCTAATTTGGAAGAGTAACCCTTTTTTAAAATTGTGTATAAAATAAGAATAAAATCTGTTCCAAGCAAGACCTTAATTTTCTCCAATAGGTAAAATGCACACACTGCATAAAGTTCATTGCATCAATTTTGATTGCTCTAGGAAATTTATTTTCTAGTTCTTAGTCATTTATAGTCTGCTTGTTGAAGTGGCTAAATAAATTGCCTCATGACCTAAAGCTCGGGAAAAATGGGGTGATAGTGTCCTTGGACCAGAAGACAACAGAATTGCATGCTAAGTATGGTTAGCTGTATTTGTTCCAACGGATGCACTGAAGCACCTGAAACCACCGTCTTCTCACTGAGGCTGTGTTGCAGGGCTACCGCTACTGGGCTGGCATCGGGGTCCTCCAGAGTTGTGAATCCGCGCTGACTCATTACCGTCTTGTGGCCAACCATGGTATCTATGTTTTTGCCTTTCACCTTATAAAACAAAAACCAATAAAACAATTAATTTTAAATACATCTATTTTTATTGCACTATTTGAAATGTCATGAATGGCTCTTTTCAAGTGGAATCGTCCTTACCCTAGTTCAGGGATGGGGAACCTTTTTTCTGCCAACGGCCATTTGTATATTTATCACATCATTCACAGGCCATACAAAATTATGAACTTAAAAATTAGCCTGCTATCTTTGGTCAAACTTTAGTTAACTCACCCCTAATGCCTTGGCAGGGCCAGATCAAATGATTTTGCAGGCCTTACAAGGCCTGCAGGCTAGACATTCCCCGCCCCTACCCTAGTTGATTAAGAAGTACTTACCTTTTTTTAAATTTTGCTATCAACTCCTCTTCTTCAGTATTTTGTGGAAAAAACTAAATTTACTTTAGATTGCTGTTTTATATCTATAAACTATAGGAACAGTTTCCTGTATAACATCTGTCAACAATTTGGCAACTCGAATTATACTTCTCTTTGTGGGACACCTGCTGACTTTCATCCATGTCCTTACTTTGTCCCCCTGTTGCAGTTGCTAGTGATATCTCGCTGACAGGAGGCTCAGTAGTGCAGAGAATACGGCTGCCAGATGAGGTGGAAAATCCAGGAATGAACAGTGGAATGCTAGAAGAAGATTTGATTCAGTATTACCAGTTCCTAGCTGAAAAGGGTGATGTACAAGCACAGGTATGTGTTTCAACATCTCATGTACTGTCTTAATGCATTGTGTATTACAGTCTCTGGGGCAAGCACTTATATATGTAAGTAACATTTTTATTGCTCTTAGCAGTTACTAGCTACGTTATTATTAGCTATATACTCTCAAGACATTCCATTTGGACTCCTCTAGGATATGGACTAGGCATTCATGGTTCCTAAGAGCTGGCAGGGTGACTACTGTGCACCCCAGTTGAAAACTGCTGCTTGAATGGAGCAGCATTACAGTGATGATGAAGGCTCTTCATGGAGTTGCCAAGGACAAAAATTGCCACTTTCTCTATAAACAAAAAGGCTCCGGGACATGTGAGATTTTAGATGCTCTTCAGAACTGTTCATGTTTCCTTTGCTCATCTTAGATCATAATTTTCTCAGATTAATTAATATTCTTGAGTATTTCCTTTAGAGTAGATTCATTGGTGGCAAATTCAGCTTTGGATTAAAAGCAGATATTTTTAGTGTTTAAAAATGTAGATTAAAGTAACGTAATACCTTCAGGAGGTAAGGCTAATTCTTTCAATTTTTGTAATAGATAGAAACCTTTTTATAACCAAGTGTTTTCTTGTTGATTTAATGATAATCACACTCCAGATGCTACCCTTGACTTTTGCCACATTTTTATCATTTTCAGGTCGGTCTGGGACAACTGCACCTGCACGGAGGGCGTGGAGTAGAACAGAACCATCAGGTAACTTTTCTGTTCCTGGGGCTTTGCACTTCCTGTTGTAGCAAGAAATAATTCTCCAGGTGTATTTCTGGCTAAGTCCGTGACAATATCAAGTTTGTGTTACTAAGACAGCCATCACAAATGAACCTTTGAGATTTAACTAACCCCTGAGGAAGCTGAAGAATAAAAATGTGATTGTACCTCATAGGGTTGGGAAGTGTTTTATCAATTCTAAAATCTAGTTCTTAATAATGCCAAAAACACATAAACAATGTATTTTTTTCTATAGGTATGTGATTGAAGTATATCTTAAAACTCCCATTAGAAAATATTTTATAGAACTAAGGAAAATTCATTGTTGAGTTTATGAGAAATTAGGAGTACACAATGGTAATAGTCAGATCTATATCCAGTCATCAAATTCTGTCTGCTTTATGTCCTAAGTGTCACCATCTCTTCCCTTTTTTTTCCATTGGGACACCTGTCACTTGTGTGAATTACCTACTGCTTAAATTTCCTGAGCAGTAGCCTGTCTTTGTGAGCCAGACATCTGATCATATGGCTCCCTTGCTTAAAACTCTTGAGTGGTCCACAGTTTCTAGGAGCTTCAAGACCGAAACCTTTACATGGCCCCTTAGGCCCCATTCCCATCTCCATTTACCTCACCAGCCCCTTGCTTTCTCAGTCATAGGCACGAGGATCTTTTCTCAAGTCTTTGAAAATATCAAGAACCTCTCTGTCTCAGGGCTTCTGGAATGCTGGCCTGTCTGGCTAGAATAAATATTACCCCACCCCTTTCTTCATATAGCTAATTCCTTGTCATCCTCCAGAGCTCAACTGCAATATCTTTTCTCCTAATGTCTCCTCGGCCTTAGCCCCACTCCAGGAATAAGTACCACAGTTAGGATTTCTGAAAATCTGTATTCCTTATGGCCCTTGTCCATTGTAAATTAGTTAATTATGTAAGTTAGTTAATTAAGTTGTTTCCTCTGCTAGAACATAAGGTCCAAAAGCATGGGCTGCATCTGCCTTATTTTCCAGTCTTTTCCCAGCACCTCACACTGCCTAGCACATAATAACTCCTCTATGAATGCTTGTCAGATTCAAAAAGCTTTGTTTTTCTCCCATGCCAGTTAAGTATTCTAGTGAAGGTTACTTCATGTACCCATGTCCCATCAACTTTAAGAATTAGATGTATCAACACAACTATGCCTAATGTCTACTTTTAAAAATTCAGATGGCACTTTGACAGCTCTTATTGTCTTTGGGTCATTAAAATGTATGTCACTAGGCCAGTACAGCATCAGATAAAATCTTAATAAAAACATTAGGTGAGAGGACAGAATTCTGGATAAGTTTGTTGCATACCTTTTGCACAACAAATTTTGAAATATTTTTGGTGTGTATGCCACTTACCTGTGAAGCAACTGCACAAATAAATTATTTTACAGGCTATGAAGAGGGAAGAAAAGGATTTCCCAGTACATGTTAATTCAACAAATATTTGCATGCCTACTATGTGCCATTCACTGCTAGGCATTTCAGATACAGTGCTTCAGTACTTAAGTCCTTACAGAGCTTCAAGTTTAATAAAAGAATTCGATACTTTTTATTTATTTTTTTTGCATTTGCTGCTTTTTAAATGATCACAGCAAAAATAGGTAATAAATTGTGATTGTTGTTACTAAGGAGAATTAAAGCATCCAATAACAGGTTACTGAGTGGGAGGTGGCAGTTGTCTCTGAATAGAGATGGGTGACATTTAAGTTGAGCCTGGAGGTAAAATTATTCCAGGCCAGAAAGAACAGTATGTACATAGGTCCTAAGGCAGGAAGGACAAGGCTGGTATGCCCAGAGTGCAGAGAGCAAGAGGGAGCAGTACTGAGATAAGTAGTGCCTGATCATGACAGTATATTTTCTACAGAACTGCAGGGGACTGTAAGCACCAGCATGAAGAGATTTAAGAACAGTCGCTTTGGATAACCCCAGAATAAAAAGCAGGGAGATCAGGGGAGTATTTTAGAAGTCAGGTGAGAGATAATGTAGCTTTGACTAGAATTGTGGTAATGGAGGGTAGAAGATAGATGGATTCAGGATGGATTTGATGACAACAGGACTTATTGATAAATTGGATATGGTGGCGGGGTACCTTGGAGCAACCAATAGGTGTCATGTTGCCTTTTACTTAAACTGAGATTCTGCCATGCAACAAGATTTTTTAACTGTTCCTGAAATAACTATTTTGGTTAAAAGCCAAGGGCAGATTCTATTAAAAACTATTTTTAATAAATTCTTTCCTCACAGAGAGCATTTGACTACTTCAATTTAGCAGCGAATGCTGGCAACTCACATGCGATGGCCTTCTTGGGAAAGGTACTGTATGTTCCATGAATGTATTGTGTAATAGCAAGAGGTGTTTGCAGAGTGAGTACATACTGTATTCAAGATCTACAATCTACCCAAAACAAACTGGAAATAACATTTCCAGGGCAAAGTTATTGTGTCTTATCCTAAGGCATTTCCAATCTGAGGCAATTTCCTAGGTGACTTAAACGTAATAGCATTTGCTCTTCAGTATAATTCTCCACTGATATTAACCACCACTATCCAAGCTCCTACTTTTCATATATCATCTATAATAATATCTGTCTAGCAAATAGAAAGATGTGGTAACCAGCAACATTTCCTCCTGTCATACTGCTTTAGGGACAGTGGGGAAGAGTTTACCTACTCATTACCCACCTCTTAAACCAAACCTAGCTAAAGATTGGAAGGGAGACTAAGGACTCGCCCTTGCTATTTTAGTATTTTCTCTTCATCCCTAGAGCCAGATTTGTCCAAATGCCCCCAGCTTGTACCACCCACTTCTCCAATGTCCTCTAACCTATAACCAGGGAAATGAGCTACCCTCCCTCTATAGCGATCCCCAGCCCAGGCCTCTGGCCAGTAAGAAGCTGGACAGGCTGTGTGTGCCTGTCTGGCTGTCAGGCCCACAGCAAGGAGCTGAAAATATCTGTAATAATAAAAGTGTAATATGCAAATTGACAGAATGGCCCAACAGTGGAACGACCATCCGGACATCCTTCTGGACAACCTTCCAGGTGAAGCTGGGGCTGCAAGGGCCGAGGCAGCCACCGAGGCTGTGAGGGCTGAGGCAGCCAGGCTGCGAGGACCTACTCTTGCACGAATTTCGTGATAGGGCCTCTAGTACATAATAATGAGGAATCGGTGCTGTGCAGGTTTTTGCTAGTCTGTCATAATTACCTGTTAACTTCCATGCTGAATAGAGGCACTTAGATTTTGTTGGAATTTGTCTGCAGACCTTTTCATCATCTTAAATGAGACAGCTATTACCCACCTTTCAATGCGGTCCTTTTCTCAAGAGGACATTTAAGTCTAGAGACTTAATGAGTAGATTCCATATGTCATAGCACAATCTATTAACTTTCTTTTTCATTATTTTGAAAGCTATTCTAGTGTAAACTAATCAGTATTTTCATCTATAACCAAATCCTAATGTTAGGAAGCTCAGATAGAATATATCTCAAAGGTTTTTCCAAATAGAAAAATCTAATCAGTATTTGCCACAGGATCACAGTTAATTGGGGCCTAAGAATTTTACATTTAGATTTTAGACAATCGTGGTGTTCCTCACGATTCTTGTTAAGCATTTAAGAACTTTTCATTTGAGCCCTTTCAGTCTTTGCTCTAATTATAAACTAACCCTATCTCAAAAATGATGTCTTTGTCGTTAATGTGTATGTGGATAAAAACAGTATTGGTCATTCTGTTCTTTCTCTTTGTCCTGTATCATGATCCCTGAGACTTTAATCATTTGGTGCTTGAAACCTTTTAGAATAACCATTTAGTTGTTTCTTTTCCTGAACTTTCACTACCTTCAATCTTAGCCTGGGGGAAGTAGTGGTAGAGGAGAACGGAAAAGACATTGCTGCTAGCCTTCCTTTCCTCGTTTAATCACAGGTCCCAAGCAATGTGTCAACCCAGTTAATTGCATTGGGATAGAGTGAGAAAATAGATTCCTCCAGGGGTTAAAGATTTCGTCTCCTGAGATTGATCTATAAGTTGATTTATATATTTATGTATTTATATATTTACTAGAGGCCAGGTACACAAAATTTGTGCGTGAGTAGTGTCAGGGCCCATCTGCAGGGCAACCGGCAGGGCGATCAGGGGACCCCTCTTGGCACCTGCCGTGGCTGGCCTGGGACCTGCGGGCTGGAGGCAGCTCCTGCGTTGAGTGTCTGCCCCTTGGTGGTCAGTACATGTCATAGCGACCGGTTGTTCCTCTGGTCATTCCACCTGTTCAGTTGATTTGCATATTAGGCTTTTATTATATAGGATATTAAGTTCATGGAATAGATGGTCATAAGGTAAATCATAAATTTGATATGACAGAATGTATAATAGTATAAAATGTCTACTATTCAGGTTTTGCTTTTAATTCTAAAATATCCTTTGGGGAATTTTAATTTTGTTAAAAGATTTTATAAGATCTAACAAAAACCAGAATGAGATGAGATAGGAGAACAGTGTAATTGGAGAGAGGATTATGCCTCATAATAAAATTGGGGTCTGTTTTCCAGATGTACTCAGAGGGAAGTGATATTGTGCCTCAGAGTAATGAGACAGCCCTTCACTACTTTAAGAAAGCTGCTGACATGGTAAGACCTTGTGACTCAGTGCATTCAAATGTGTATCACGTTACTATTATTTTAATAAATAAGTTTATTATATTAAAAGATGAATCATGACCGTCATGCCATAAATTAGTAAAAGCATTTATGTAAATATGATTCATGTGAATAAATTGAATGAGGAAAAAGTTCTCAATAAAAAGCAATTTTTTTAGGGACCAGATTATTGTATAATAAGCCTCTCTCAAAATTTTACTGAGAAATGTCCTGATCAGGGAAATGTGATTTTAGTAATGGAATTGAAAGTTACATAATTTTTCTTATCTGTGTTGCATCTTGAGGTTTAAAACTTACACAATTGGATAATTTTGATAATAACAGTACATAATTTAGGCATTCTCTGGTGCAAAGAAAGCAACGTATGAATACTTAAGACCCTATATGCCTCCAGTGTGTACCATACACATATCTCTTTGCCAACTAAAGTCTCAAAACAATGGTTATCTTTGGTTTTGGACATTTCAATAATCGTAAGCATTTCTTTGCTGCCTAATCCCAGTATTGCTGTTATTACGTGGTTGTTGACTCTACCCCATGGAGTCTTCCTTCTTGTTTGAGGAGGAAGGTTACTAATTAAAAAACTACCCAAAAAAGTGACCTGTGTTTAGTCTTTAAAATGTTAGTTATGTTTTATATCATAAATTCATGGAACAGATGGTCATAAGGTAAGTCATGAAAATTTAATTCTAAATGAATGTACTATTTACTCTTTTTCAGAAAATTTTAAAAACCCCAAATACCTAAAAGTCAATATTATGTTTAGCTTGATGGGAAGGAGAAAATTTTATTTTGAATTGAAAAGTGCTAAGACGGGTTTTGAACATGCTTGTAAATTGTTTATTTTGCAGGCATTTAGTCTTGCCTACTTTGTAATTAATTCTTTCACACTGTTGTCTCTGGTTTGCAGGGCAACCCAGTTGGACAGAGTGGGCTTGGAATGGCTTACCTCTACGGGAGAGGAGTTCAAGTTGTAAGTTTCCCATCTAACATTCTGATTTTAACAAGGAGTCAGTTGGTGAGGCAGGGAAGTATTCCTTAACTAGCTCCCAGCCAGCCTAGGCAGGCCACTTCATTATAACCAAACCTAAACTGTTTCCTGTTGTCCTTACCATCCTTCACTCTGTACTCGCTGTACCAACTGCCTTGTTAGAATGGCTCTGACTCTGGCCCCTTCTCCTGAAGCTGTTTCTCATCCTCCCACCAATGCTCTCTGCCCTGTCTACTCTTCCATCTCGCCTAGACTTGTACGTCTTCACTCAAGCCTAAGAAAATGCTCAGGTCTCTCCCATTTAGAGGAGAAAAGCTTTCTGTTCTACCCTTTGCCCTTCTGGCCACTACCTCTTTTCTCTGCAGCCCTTCGCTGCACAGCCAAGTTTTTCCAAAAAATGAACTATATGAGCTGCTACCGCTCACTCATTAGCTCAGAGCAGTCAGGTTCTGCCTCATGAAACTGCTCAATTCAAGTCACCCAGAAACCTCCTGAATGTCAACTCCACATTTTTTGGTTGTATATCATTAGCACTTTCTTCCCTGGAGTTCTGTGACTGCAAGGGCTCTTGGTTTTCCTGAGCCATGGTTCTCATTCTTCTGTGCTACTTCGTGAGGTGGGATGCCCTGGAGTCTCCTTGCCATCCCCTTTTTCTGTGGGATATCTCTAAGCAATATGTTCTTTTTATTTGGGCCTGAAACTAAGAGCTAGGTTTGGGATTCCAATCTGTAGGCATTTCTTAGCATAAGAAACAGTAGTGTGATCTTGTTTTTATTCATTCTAGTCATTTTAGGAAACTAAAGTTCCGTAGTGATCTTTGTTTCAGTTTATCTCTATGGATACATGATATTTGAAGTTTAATGATTGCATAGTGTTCATTATGAACACAGGGAAAGAATGAATAAGGAGAGGATGATCACCCTTATCTAATATTGGAAGAATTGAGGTTTTAAAAAGGATTGGTTGGTTAACAGAAAAGATAACAACTGTTTCTTAAACCCTGTCCTTGTGTTCCACTGGTGGTGTTTATGCTTTCCGAGAGCCAACATACAAATTGTTTCACAAAAACTTGATTTGCTTTTCTTCACCATCTTAAATATCCCCCTGTGACTTCAAGTCTATTATTATCTGTTATAAAAATTAGAAGGTATTTCTTTTAATGGCTCTTCAAGACTATTTTGTGTGCTTTATTAATTTTTTTAAATAAATTAATCTTCTGATTTTCGAGTATGTCAGCCTTTTGAGGTTTCTCACATGTGATTGTGTGATGAGATGATCTTTTTTTGCAGAATTATGATCTGGCACTGAAGTATTTCCAGAAAGCTGCTGAGCAAGGCTGGGTGGATGGGCAACTACAGCTTGGCTCCATGTACTATAGTAAGTAACGGTGGGATTAATGATGAACACACCAAGATGTAAATCACCTTTTTCTACTAGATGTCACTATGATATGGAAATGAGAGTGTTGAATACTGGCTGATTCATGTTCTCCCAATTCAATTATCTGTGCATCTTGTTTTTTATTGTGAATTATGTTGATATATATTAATATACAGATCTGTGTTAATAGGATTCGCATTTTTCCCTGAGTAAGAATTCTGAATTTTATTTTGTTTTATCCTCTACTTCTCTGATGCTTCAGCTAAATCTTATTTGAGACTGTTCCTGACATTTCCTATGATTTTCCTTACAGATGGCATTGGAGTCAAGAGGGATTATAAACAGGCCTTGAAGTACTTTAACTTAGCTTCTCAGGGAGGCCATATCCTGGCTTTCTATAACCTAGCACAGATGCACGCCAGTGGCACAGGTGTGATGCGATCCTGCCACAATGCAGTAGAGGTGAGGGCTCTTCTACCAACTTCTGTACAAGAAATTAATTTTCCTAGTGGGAAGTCTACTGTTGGTTTTTGTTTGTTTGTTTAACATATTTTTATTTATCTTAGAGAGGAAGGGAGTGGGAGAGAGAGAAAGAAACATCAGTGATGAGAGAGAATCATTGATTGGCTGCCTCCTGCACGCCCCACACGGGATTGAGCCCACAACCCTGGCATGCGGCCTGACCGGGGATCGAACTGTGACCAGCTGGTTCATAGATCGATGCTCAACCACTGAGCTATGCCAGCCAGGCCTGAACTTGAATTTTTGTAACCATCACAGCAACTC